TACGACACCTTCGCGTTCAGCATACGTTCAACTTGATGACGTCCTCACCTTCTAGATCCGGCAAGAGGGGCGAATTAGTAGATGAGTTTCGGCAGCACGACGGCGTGGTGACGGTGATGGTGAAGAACAATCTCCGCAGGGCTTCGCCAAGCACAACAGAAACTATGATGGATGATAAACTAGAAGGGGCGGGGTTGTCGGCGCACGGCTTGGTGAATCTTGATGTGTTCCGGGTGCTAGCCCTGCCCCTCTATTTATATATTGAGCCCTGGGGTCATTTCTTGGAGAAAGGGCCTCCTCAAAGCCGGTTTAGCCCGCAAGGCAAGAGTCCTTCTCGGACTACAGGACCAGACGCCAGGGTTCTCGGCATCTAGCCCCAGACGCCAGGGTCCCTGGCGTCTAGCCCCTCGCCTCCGCAAAACTTCCTTTTCCACCTTCCTAAAACCCCGTGGGCTTTAACCCTTGGCCCACATAAAGTGTTCTCGCACCAGAACATTTCGGTAAACATCCGAAACCCCAATTCCGGTGAATTCCAGAACCCTTCTGGAGACCAAACACTATTATCCCATATATCAATCTTTACCTCAGGACCATTCCGGAGCTCCTCGTCAAGTCTGTGATCTCATCTGGGACTCTGAACAACATTCGGTCACCAACATACATAACTCATATAATACTATATCGTCAACGGACGTTAAGCCTGCGGACCTTACGGGTTCGAGAATGATGTAGACATGACCGAGACGCTTCTCCGGTCAATAACCAATAACGGGACTTGGATGCCCATATTGGTTCCTACATATTCTACGATGATCTTTATCGGTCGAACCTTTATGACAACATACACAGTTCCCTTTGTCCGTCGGTATGTTACTTGCCCGAGATTCGATCGTCGGTATCGTCATACCTAGTTCAATCTCATGACCGACAAGTCTCTTTACTCGTTCTGTAATACATCATCTCGTAACTAACTCCTTAGTCACTTTGCTTACAAGTTTCTTGTGATGTGTACTACCAAGAGGGCCAAGAGATACCTCTTTGATACACGGAGTGACAAATCCTAATCTCGATCCATGCCAACTCAACAGACACCTTCGGAGATACCTATAGAGAATCTTTATGATGACCCAGTTACGTTGTGACATTTGATAGCACACAAGACATTTCTCTGGTGTCCGGGGGTTGCATGATCTCATGGTCGAAGGAATATGTATTTGACACTAAGAAAACAGTAGCAATAAACTGAACGATCATATGCTAAGCTAACAGATGGGTCTTGTCCATCACATCATCCTATATACCTAAGAGATTCATCCCCACTAACTTATTTATCTCAACATGCAAGCATGCCACATCACCATATAATTATGAATGTGATAAGACCCACATCATCATGCAACCATGCATGGGAAAAAACCAACCACCACATGCAACCATGCATGGAAAAAAATTCATTCTATTATTCTACTTACATTCAACAAATATTTTACAATTGTACCTAATAAAATATACTAAGTTGTATACATTTTTTTTATTTTGGTTCACATGTTACTAATCCAAATATTTATATTCCACACAATCAAATATCATCTAAATATACTGCAACCAATTCCCGCAACAACGTGCGGGTTATCATCTAGTTCTCCTAATGATGTGAACCCGTTATCAAGTGACAACACATGTCCATGGTTAGGAAACCTAAACCATCTTTGATCAACGAACTAGTCTAGCAGAGGCTCACTAGGGACACGGTATTTGTTTATGTATGCACACATGTATTTAAGTTTCTAATCAATACAATTCTAGCATGAATAATAAACCTTTATCATGTATAAGGAAATATAATAATAACAACTTTATTATTGCCTCTAGGGCATATTTCCATCAAGATCATCTTCATCCTACGCCTCTCACGGATTGATAAAACCTTAGGTCATCCACTCAAGAAAAAATTGCTACTGTCCTACAAAACTCTGTGCTTGGAGGCCCAACAGGAGTCTACAAGAATGATTTGTATAGTAGACATCACACCGGTGGTGTTGTGAACGTCCCCCCTTGTTAGCAACAAAGGTGATGTTGTGATGACCACTTTGCAACATCGACAGTGTTGCAAATGCGTGCAGGTCGCCGCTCCCATTGTAGCACGACAACCGTTGTAGAAAAGACT